GAGAGAGAGAGAGAGAGAGAGAGAGAGAGAGAGCAATAGTTTATGATTAGAAAAAAACTCACCGTGCTGATGTGAACATTGAGACTTAGGTAATGCAGTAATTCGTTTCATGGATCCTGGAGAGGAGGGAGGAGCAACTATGGCATTGTGCCACCTGCAATGACGCCTATTCTCAAACCAAGTAACTAAGTAAGTAAGTAATTGCTTCTATTCAAGTAATAGTAACATTTTAAAAAGGAGGATAGGTAAAGACAATGGATGTTTCATAAGATAGACACTGTACCTGTGCACCCTCCAACTACGGACTTTTACTTTCTACCTGGTTTCTTACCTCGTATTGGTTGAGGAATATCTGCAGTTGCATCACACTGATACGGAGGTCGGTGTCATTGTATTCATAAGGTATGTTCCAACCCAGAGGGCCGAATTTACGTCGTTCTTGAACCAGGGCGTGGAAAAAGCAAAGTGAGTATAACATCTTCTTGAAGATCACCTGTGAGAAGAGACAGACGCATTGAACAATTTGGCGAGTTTCACTGCGTTACTCTGCGCTGCTGGATACGTTTCGTCAAAACTGCACTTGTTTCTACTTGTTTTGACTTGGGTTTTGTTGATCACAGTCTCAGCACGAATCGGTTACTAAATTTCGTTCTCTGAAAACTAAATGATGTTTATGCGAATTGGGTGGTTTTACAATTCTATTCATTTTATTTATTTTTCTTTAGCTTTCATGTTACGCCTTCATTTAATAACAGACCTGGTTGAATGGCTCTTTCCAGCAATTGTCCCCCCCCCCTCTCTCTCTCTCCCTCTCTCTCTCTCCCCCCCCTCTCTCTCTTCCTCTCTCTCTCTCTCTCTCTCATACACAAACGCACACACACACATATACATACAGACACACTCAAACAAACACAAACACCACGCGCTCTCTTCCTCCTCCTCACATACACGCACGCGTGCACGAACACACACACACAAACACACACACACACACACACACACACACACACACACACACACACACATACGCACACATACCCACACACAAACATACACATACATACATACACACACATACTCCCTGTGTTTTTCTCTCCCTTTATATCTCTCATTGTTCCCTTTATCTCTCTCTCGCTCTCTCTGTTTCCTTTTTCGGGTTTTTCATGTTTCTGTTACTTTCCTCTTTCCTAAAGTACTCACCATTTGCTTGCAGTTATTGAAGAACTCCAGATCAGATATGGGATCGGACTTATATGATTTGATAATGTTGAACCGCAGGCCCTTAGGTGCTTCGTTGGTCATTTTGACTCCATTTTGAAGGATGGAAACTGGGAACGTCGTGGACGGGTAGGAGGTCAACCACAGGCGAAAGTCTGGGTGAGTCTGGTCCTCGGAGAACTCCTGAATAGATAGATAGATAGATAGATAGATAGATAGATAGATAGATAGATAGATAGATAGATAGATAGATAGATAGATAGATAGATAGATAGCAGACAAACAGCCAGCCAGCCAGCCAGCCAGCCAGACAGCCAGACAGACAGACAGCCAGCCAGCCAGACAGACAGACAGACAGACAGACAGACAGACAGACAGACAGACAGACAGAATTAAAAACTCTAAACCTGAGATAGGCATGATGGTCTCACGATTTTTAAAAGCAAATTTAAGCTAAAAATGCAAGTACACAAACAGAAAACTAAAGTTTGGTTTTCTTGGTCTAGCTTTTTGTGACCAAGAGTTGATGCCATAATCATGCCATTGCCAGATTCAGAACAGTAAGAGGTCGAGGAAAAAAAACAAGCACTCGCAAGGCTGTAATCTTGAGCTTATTTAGTAGTGCCATTCGAGAGAGAGAGAGAGAGTCATAAGTGCATCGAATCACATGGTCACTTGAGAACATACGTGAGGTAGCGTGGTGAAACCAGGCTCTCGTCAAAATAATCAAAGTGATGAAACTTGCATTTTTCCTCAGGTGTGTGAATTTGTATCGAATTTTTGTTTTTTGGCTCAACACCTTTCATGTCCATTAAAGAACTCATTTCTGTGTGGATTTTTCTGAAAAACGTTGATTAAAGGCACAAAAAAATGTAAATTTTCAGTTATCACGGACTCTTAAGCTGAGGAAATAACTTATCTTAGGCGGCCATTTTCTCACTAATTTTACCTCTGAAAACAGGTGAGCCCCACCTCCTTCTTTTGCAAATATCTCGACTTGTATTCTAGATAAATGGATATTTCTTTCATTCAAATAAAGACAAGTGAACAAGCTTTATAATGAAACCAATAACTCTACATGTCCAAAAATTGACGAGAGCCTGATTCCACCACGCTGCCTCACATACGTTATTTTCAACCCCCACAGAGTGGAGTAAAAGAAAACTTCATCAGCTACTCACACCAAGCAGGAGTCTAAACCCTCCGTAGGGCCGCGGTCGGGTCGCCGTGGTGTCTGGCTCGAAACACAGGTTTGACTGATCGCTACCTTAGAATTACAAAGTTCTGTCTGATCAATTTGAGTTACTAGGACCATGAGGTCAGAAAACAAATGTTCTATCTGCTCAATCAAAACCGAAAGATTATTCGGAGTCTTTATAAAAAGATTTTCAAAGAAATGCATTTGAATAACTGGACACGTTTTGAAACTCAAACTTTTTGACGTCCAATTTCTCAAAACTAGATGCTTAGAAGATGCAACTTTGTAATTCTAGGATGACGTTATCTTAACAATGTTCGAATCGAAATTTAAGTTCACCCAGTGTGGTACACTCACAGCACAGATTTTCTCCAAAGTTGGCATCCAGGACGCGGCGAGATGGCAGTTCTGTAGCACAACCCACAGCCCGTCTTTCACCGCTTTGTCCACCATTCGCATGGCAATAGGACCTTGACCTTGGCCCAGGGACAGGGAGTCAAACTTGTCTCCTCCCATGCTCTGCGAAAGGAAGCAGTATACTTAAACCTTTCTGTGAGGGGGTCGTGAGTGTGTATTATTGTCTCATGTGACAGTGTGATGTGAAGCGCTGATGAGTATTTGTCGAATGGAACTATTGAATAAGCTCATGACTGTTGTAAGTGCTTGTTCTTAGAATAAATTAAAGGTCTTATAATAAATGAAAA